GCTTTTGTGTTTACATGTTTAATTAAGCTTTTGTGTTTACATGTTCAATCCAGAGGTTGTGTTATACATGTTCAATCAAGCTTTTGTGTTTTTGCATTCAATCCAGCGTTTGTGTTTTTATGTTTAATCCTGCGTTTGTGTTTTTATATTTAATCAAGCTTTTGTGTTTTGTCCCGCATTTGTGGTGTAATGTTCAATCCAGCTTTTGTGTTGTAATGTTCAATCCAGCTTTTTGTGTTAACATGTTTAATCAAGCTTTTGTGTTTAATTGTTGTATCCAGTGTTTGTATTTACATGTTCAATCAAGCTTTTGTGTTTTCATGTTCAATCAAGCTTTTGTGTTTTCATGTTCAATCAAGCTTTTGTGTTTTTATGTTCAATCAAGCTTTTGTGTTTTTATGTTCAATCAAGCTTTTGTGTTTTCATGTTCAATCAAGCTTTTGTGTTTTCATGTTCAATCAAGCTTTTGTGCTTTTATGTTCAATCAAACCTTTTTGTTTTTATGTTCAATCAAGCTTTTGTGTTTTCATGTTCAATCAAGCTTTTGTTTTTACATGTTTTATCCAGCTTTTGCGTTTTTTTGTTCAATCCAGCTTTTGTGTTTTCATGTTTAATCAAGCTTTTGTGCTTTCATGTTCAATTAAGCTTTTGTGCTTTTATGTTCAATCAAACCTTTTTGTTTTTATGTTCAATCAAGCTTTTGTGTTTTCATGTTCAATCAAGCTTTTGTTTTTACATGTTTTATCCAGCTTTTGCGTTTTTTTGTTCAATCCAGCTTTTGTGTTTTCATGTTTAATCAAGCTTTTGTGTTTTTATGTTCAATCAAGCTTTTGTGTTTTCATGTTCAATCAAGCTTTTGTGTTTTCATGTTCAGTCAAGCTTTTGTGTTTCCATGTTCTATCAAGATTTTGTGTTTTCATGTTCATCCAGCTTTTGTGTTTTCATGTTCAATAAAGCTTTTGTGTTTTCATGTTCAATCAAGCTTGACATGTTCAATCCAGTGGTTGTGTTATACATGTTCAAACTTGCTCTTGTGTTTTTGCGTTCAATCCAGCGTTTGTGTTTACATGTTTAATCCATTCTTTTTGTTTTAATGTTTAATCCAGCGTTTGTGTTATGCATGGTCATTCCAGCTTTTGTGTTTTTGTGTTCAATCAAGCTTTTGTGTTTTAATGTTCAATCCACCTTTTGTGTTTACATGTTCTATCCAGCTTTTGTTTTTAAATGTTCAATCCAGCTTTTGTGTTTAAATGTTCAATCCAGCTTTTGTGTTAACAGGTTCTATCCAGCTTTTGTGTTTACATGATGATCAATATAGCGTTTTTGTTTACATGTTCAATCCAGCTTTGTGTTTACATGATGATCAATAAAGTGTTCGTGTTTAAATGTTCAATGCAGCTTTTGTGTTTACATGTTCTATCCAGCTTTTGTGTTTAAATGTTCAATCCAGCTTTTGTGTGTACATGTTCTATCCAGCTTTTGTGTTTACATGATGATCAATATAGCGTTTTGGTTTACATGTTCAATCCAGCTTTGTGTTAAATGTTCAATCCAGCTTTGTGTTTAAATGTTCATTTCAGCTTTTGTGTTTACATGTTCAATTCAGCTTTTGTGTTTACATGTTCAATTCAGTTTTTGTTTTACATGTTCAATTCAGTTTTTTTGCTTGCATGTTCAATTCAGCTTTTGTGTTGAAATGTTCAATCCAGCTTTGTATTTACATGTTCTATGCAGCTTTTGTGTTTACATGTTCATTCTAGTGTTTGTGTTAAAAAAACTCTTACCTCCTATCAATCTCATCGACGTGAAATAGTTGTATGATCGGATGTTTTTCATATCAGTATCAGATACTTGTATTAGCCGTCGAGGAAGCGTTGAAGCTGGACCATGTTCAAAAATGTTCAAAGATGATCTAAACATATTACAGAACGAAAACGTTAGGTAAGTTTGTGTGTTTCTGAACAACTCTTGTGTAGCTTGTCAGCTATAGGATTGTCGTCATCTCTGTTCATGTAAACTTGACTTTTCCTTAGCTTATGTAGTTAGGGTTGGCCAGTTCTGAGTCAAATTTCATGTCCGCTCCTATACAAATGTAGCACTAGGATTTTTCGTCACTGCTGATAAAGGATTTCTGGTAAATATTTTGCCCACTGTCTATTTCTATTCGATTTAAAATACATACGGGGGAGTCACCATTATCGTTCATGCATGGATCAATACAGGCATTTGTCTCACAGACTGAGTAGAGGCATATTACAGTATATGGCAATATCTATTTTTTCACTTTCGACTGGTATTTCTTCCTCTACCCTTTATTTCATTTTAGCTGACTCATGGGCAAGCGATAATTTTACCAAGGACCCTGTATAAACCCGACACACCAGTTGCCCCCGACAACAGAACCGAACCTGCGCGGGAGCACACCGGGGTTCAAACACTGACAAGCAGTCTTGACCTCACGACCTTAGACAAGAAATGCATATTATTGAGAAATAAAGGCAATAATAATAGGAAGTTGTGAAAACTTTCCAATAAAATTTGGATCGAAATGATATTCGTATTGCCTCCCTTCCATCGGTTAAAGCGTTTCGAGTACCATTACGTAACTGTCACGCAGTACGTGCAGAATCACGCTGTTGGTACAGTAAACATCAGTAAAATGGTGTTTCTTTTTACACACGAGTTAACGTATCCTCACTTCCCTCTTTTTTTAATAAATAGAGAGAAATTTTATCACTGAATATTAAAATAGTTCTTTATTTCTTAAAGGAAGTCATTCCATGAAAATGTTGTGTGTTTTTTAGTGTATTATACATGCAAATTTCATTACTGTCACTTACAAAAATTCAGGACCAATTAATATTAAAATGGATATAATCTATAACTTTTAAAATATTTAAGGAACTCTTACTGATCTTTCAGACATTTTTTGACGATACTGTTTAACTAAGAGCAAACTTATCTGGTGTTCGTGATTTTTATACGAGAGTTGTGACAAGCACCGCTCTTTTTCTTTCTCTAATTTTGGACGGAATACGCATATCATTCCAAAGATTTAGTAAAAATGGATTTTGAAGGTTTTGTTTAGCAATTTTCACGACGTATATAAAAGGATATTAAGTGACATATTTCAAGATTAGTATTTAGTCTAGTTTCTGCACTTAAAATAGCAATCATCCGTACATGTTTTAGACCTGCTAAATAGCATGCACATACACCCAAACTACACTTTTCGACTTAATATCAACAAACTTCTAGATGGATAAATATCCCGATACACGGCACGGAGCATTAGAATCGGGTACGACTAGAATTAGCCCGTAGTTTTAATGTTTAAAATTGAGAATCAGTATAACATGGATTACCACTTTTAAGATTGTTTTTTTGTGCATCTCAAACGTTTTAATTCCATATTGCTTACTTTGTCCATAAAACAAGACTAAAAGATATATGTTTCTGATTTGTCTATAACACAGGATTTTGTTTCAACAAATAATACAAGTGTTACTCTGTCACTGGGTCTAGTTTCTAGTTTCGACACCTATTTATTATGACTACAGACATATAAAACCGGTAATACACATATCTCGGTTATGATTTTGTCTATATCAAAGAATTTCATTTTGACAGCTAGTGTCTAATCAATGTAAATGCCCATTGATCAATCTATATCTCATTTCAAATACATTGATAGAAAAATATGAATATTTATTGTTTTACCGGTTTGTTCAAAATCATTTAAGATGATTTCCTCTTTTTTCTTTCTTGTTTCCGTTCAAACATCTATATTTAATGATATCTCTAATATCCATCATTCCTCGATGAATATTAAACACTTAATGATTTGTATCACCAAATCAAAAGTTATGTCAATATTTTTTTTATAACATTTTAAAATTCTGAATTTCATTATAAAACAGACCGGTGGCCTTTTCCCTGAAGTCAGTAGCACTCGTAGATTGATTGCAAGTTGTATCTTATCTTAGGAATCTACTCCCAGGGGGCGCCAAACAGTGGTTCTTAGTTTAAAATATTGATTTGATACACGTTTTCCGCTATGGAGGTCTCCAGAATGAAATTGCTGTGGTTTGATTATATTTTGTGTCAGAGATGTAAACACGAGATAATATTTAACAACGTAGAATAGTTTATTTTTATATATAAATATATATATATCAGTTGTCAATGACTGTATTTTAGGGTCATGTTTGTTTTAAATTTCATAAACATCTACCTTATACAATTAATTTGAATTGCAACCATTAACCTTGATTGAAAGTATATCTATTCGATAAGATTGTTCAACTATGTTGAAACATTACGTCTTTTTCTGGACATGTTAACATTTTATACAAAAATTATAGGATTATTTATGAAATGTACGTATGCATGTCATTTTATGTACATGTGCTGTTGAACAGGGTAAATCCACGTTCCATGTTGACGGTAAATAAGTGATACTGTATTCTTCGCTCTGGGAATCATTCTTATTATTTATCAACAAGTATGTTTTGTTTATCAAATATTGTGAAAGATATATGTGAACGGGATATTTCATTTTCATTTGGTTATATTATAATGAAGCCAGGGGACCTCATCTGTACAGTAAATATTGATCAAATGTGAAGGTATATCTTTGAAAACTCTGACGGCAGAGGACATTATAATTACTGATATTCTTATTAATATTTATTCTCAGCAATACATATTTTTTCAAAACTAATTAACCTGGAAATTTGCGAATTACAAACAATACGATATTATATCATATGGTACGTACGAATCACAAAAATAAAACAGTTTCAACGGGGACATAGATCCATTTACCAGTCGCTTTAAGACTTATATATATTTTATACTTATATTTGTACGTAAAGATAACGGTTGTTTACACACAACAGTAGCATGTTCAATCTCCCGTTGAATTTTATACCGTATTTCAAAATTTAACCATCAACAATTAAAAACAAAATAATAAATCAATAACTAAAACTTCAATATTTTACAAAGTCACAGTTTTATTAAGTATAACGATTTTTCTGTTTGTATTATCTTACAAATTCAATATTCTCGCTAACCAGGGACAAAACGACATTCTACGCGAATACAACAACGCACATGTTCACCTCTCTTACAACTCATATATTCCTTTCTTTCTTTGTATCCGAATTAGTGAATTGCTTATGCTAAGGTATAAATACAAACGCCTTGTTTTTCAGGGCGATCTAATATACCGTTTGCATTCCGTCAAACCACAAAAAACTCTACCAAATTCAATATACTGTGTTTGTTTCGTCCTCTCTCTAGTGAAGAAGGAGTAATGCACAACTAAATTATTTACATTAAGAGATAAAAAGAAGACATTTCCTGTGTGTTTAATAGAATGTTAACGGTATGATCTATTGTATCAGAAAGACAAAGAGAGAGAACAGAAAAACACATTGAGGGGAAAACCTTGTATTGTTATGGAATTATCAACACATCCGAGTCAACAATCGCACACAATCACCACGCTCATTTTCATTTAAGCCATACACAATCCATTCAAAGTCATTTATATCCATTTCTCCCTTAACATGCACTATACAATTCATTTCATTCTTTCTAACTTTTTAAGAATGCCGAAAATTAGTCTGTATTCATTTCAACATCATTTATATATATATATGTATATAATATATAAATGATAACAAGGGAACAGCTCCAACGCTAGAGCCATGCACGCGGTTACAAAATAAACAATTAAAAAAAATATTAAAAGAAACGTTTACATTTCATTAGCCTATGTTACTCGAAAGAAATGATATGCAAACATAAGATTTCTATCAAAAACACGGGTATAAATAACTAAATTAAACTTCTTCAACAAAATCAGGTACTACTTTATTCCGCGATCTTCATACGCCCTTTAGTGGGCGGAGCTTAGTGTTTGAGATATATCGAATTTTTTGATTGGCTACAAACCGACCGAGTGAATACCGCCTACCTTTCTAGGCATTGGAGCGTAGCACACACAGATGGCGCAGTGACTCAGCCTTTCCCGGCCCTCTGAAAACTCCCGTTTAGGCCGATAGCGTCATTCTTGACGAAATCCAACGCTTACTAGAGTTGTGTAAATATTTGTGTTGTTCAGGTGAATGAATTTATATACAGTTTTTTGTCCAAACATTCAAAACGAAAAAATGTTTAATTCATGAATTATTAACACCTTGGTGTTTATTTCTGTATTTCTGAGGTGTTAAAATATTTTTTTAGAGCAGAGCAAATTAAGTGGTTTTGATGATTGAGCAGGTAAGGGAGGGAATAAAGCTTTGTAAGCTCGCAGAAAATCGTCAATTTATTTTTAACAGGTACTAATATTGATTTTTGCTCCCTAATTTGTGTCGGGATGAGCTTTATTAAAAAAGAATAAGGTTGATCGAAGAAAACTGAATAAGACAGGTTATCGTGATACCAAAGAATTTATTATTTAATAAAAATATGTTTCACTGTAAACAGATATACTTTTCTGTTTCTGTGTGCACCGAGAGAAAATGATTACAAAAATAAAAATGGGATACGTTGATTAAGTGTAATCTATGTACACGAGATTTTGGGAATTTCTTTAAATTATCAAGTTTAATAAAAAAGAAATATTAGCTCTTTTTCAATGTTAGAATTAAGTATTTCATTTCAGTATTATTTATATTGAAGGAGGATTCAATGAACAGTCAAAATCAATTTGACTTGTGAAGCAGAACATTCTCTAGTGGGGCTGACATTTTTTTATTTTATTTTAGATTACATTGCATTTAACTCAAGAAAATGGTAAGTGTAAATGTAAATTAGACTAATTTTGTTTTCATCGATAATATTGCGGGGTAAACAAGCTTGTTTGTATTTTGTTTCAAGACGAAAATGACTTTCTAATCTACGAATATTTTATTGTCTAGAAGTTTTAAGATCTGTATAACTAAAGTTAAAAAACAACATAACAATTAACTGGGAAAATAGCGGCTCTCAAATATCAAATTTTGTTTACTTACAAAATCCTGCACTGCTACATTTTTATATGTAAATGCTGCATTATGCATTATACTAATTCTGGCAGAACAGAATAGGACTAGTTCGGTGTTTCTGACAAACAAAAAAGGTCAAAAACATATATATCTGAAAAAAAGGCGGACCTTACCAATATGTGTGTGTGTGAGCCTTGTATGAGGTTAGCACAGAGCACACAGTCCATGGATATTTTGTTCTCATACCATCTCTCCGGCCTAACCGATGATATTGGAGATGGAAAGAACGATGGTGAAGATGAAAACTCCACAATCGTCGAACGGGTTACGATAAAAAGCACTGTCAACATCCTCCGTGGTGAATGATTTCACATTTGTAGAATTAGTTTGCAAGAATATATCCGCTAAATTTCATCCAAGTTTATTTTACCAAATATAAAACTGATAAATAGCAATTCATTTTTATTTTATCACATTCCCTTATTTCTTATATTCGAATTTTCTATTTATAACAAACATCAACATCCTAAATCAGATGATTATTTTGGCTAAAAGTTTAACGAAATAGTTTTATAAAGGAAACTAATAATAAAAATCGGCCAAATAAATCATAACAATGATTCATACAACTGGGATATAACCCCTATCGTAAATATTCATGAAATATATTTAGTAACCATCTTTGAAACTTGGATGAATTTACATGTGGGAATTCTTGACTTTTTACCCTATAACCATCATCACAAGACGGTGCACATTCCTTTATATGTGCACTTACCGTACCGATGTCTGTAAGCGCACACCACTTTTTAAACACATGCCGTACACTTGGTAATAAGCGCACCTCATCTATAACACAATGGGACCTGTATGATGAGCAAAAATCGGGAGTTCGTCTCGTTTCTTTTAACCGTCTTTTTACCCTGAGATGAATAAAGTGTGTGTGTTTTTCGTTCTCGTTATATCAAAACTCTGCCAGCAGTCAGTCACACTAGTATCACTTAATTGGAATAATTATTTTCGTCTGAACTTGGACTCGCGCCAATGTTTGTTCTGTCAGGATCTGTTTCAGGTTTTGACCGATCCGGACCGGTCAGTTTAGGAATATTGTTCTCCTTTTTCCATTTCATTCGTCGATTCTGGAACCATATCTTAATCTGCCGCTCCGTAAGTCCGAGTAAATGGGCAATCTCAATCCGCCTCCGCCGAGTCAGATAGCGGTTGTAGTGGAACTCCTTCTCCAGTTCCAGTGTCTGGTATCGGGTATACGTCTGGCGCGTCCGCTTCTGTTCGTACGTAACCTCTGCAAAATAATTAAAACCTATATTTTAGCAAGTTAAGACTGCCGTGTACAAGAGTGAAAATATCAATTTACAATCATTAACCACGGATAATAATTTTTGAATCGCTTTGAGACGACCTACGAACTATAGGTCGTGTAAAAGCGGTATATAAGAACCTCGGGTTATTATCAGTATTAAATATAATGTTTAAATATAGCAAGTAAATACAATGAAGTGAAGAAATAGTATTATAAATATTCAGGTCGTAAAATGAATATGCAAAGCTTAATTTTAAATAGCGAATAATTTGTATTATGGTTTAAAACTTTAATTTAATTCTTTTCTAAGAGATCTCATACATCTCTTATTAAAACAGGTGTCAAAATAATTCAAATATGCATGTTCGTGGGGGTATAAATATTAATAAGAAGATGAAAAGTATAAAGTTCAATTTCTATGTTTAATAAATTCAATGATAAGAAGTCATTAAACCGGGCCTATCAAATTGAACTAGATACATCACATTAGCACCGTGACCCAGGGAGCAATATAGCACACGTGTATAGGTCCACACCTGTATCTTCAAATCACGACAATTTATATTATGCGAAATCGGAGCTACCTGTTTTTTCCACATTTATGCTTTGCTTGAGGGCATTTTGTTGGTCGCAGTGTTTGTTTATTACCCTCGTTAACTGTGGTTTATTTGCTAGGTATTATTAACTACAAAATGAGTAAACTATCAATTATTACTTTAAAAAAATCCTCATACCTACAAATAGGCATAGATATATACTACGGGAATGTACACGTCACAGAGAATCACTGCAGACACATATAGCCGTAGGGTTTTAGTGTATTACCGACAAGGGTTTTTTATATAATTATTCTTACCTTTACTTTTCCCATATAATCTTGTATGATTATAAAAAAGAGGTATTTTTTACTTCAGAAAAATTGCAATAGGATGTTTTTAATGAATGAATGATCTAATAGACAGAAAAAAATATGTATTTCCGCAAATAATTTTGTTTGTTCCCCATTGAAAATAATATACAAATATATGTTTTCCGCATTTAATAAATTTATAATCACCATTTTCGCCCCTAAAGAGTATATGATTCTAATGTTAACCGATGTCTATTTCAAGACAGAGAAAATCACATCCTTATTTTATGTAACTGTGTTGTATCTAATTGAAATTCTGATTAAATATACTTTCTGAAATTCAGGTAACCGATGCGTGTAACTGTTAACCACGTAAAAGATTCCAGCTATATCCTTCTTGTGTTAAATAGTACTGTTTAAGTGTGTATGATTATTTTGAACCGCAACAGTGTAATTTAAAAAAAACAGGAAGTTGGGCATATTCATTCACGTAAAACCGTTTTGTTTTTGTTTTCACAGGTGAGTATACGGAATGAAATAATTTCACCGAGGTAAGAATAAACATGTTTTATTGATGAGGTGTTGATAGCACGCGCGGTTTAACATCTGAATTATTTAATCCCGACTTGAAACCTAGCACCGCACAAGGTGAATACCTGGGCACTAAAGTTCGTCTGATCGATTACAACACAGTGAATCTATCGGAACATCAACAGGGCACTACCGCCGATCTAATCCACGTGCAATGAAACATGAAATCATTTATAACAGTTAATAAGACAAAATACAAAATACAACCACCAGCCAATATATTCTAATAATGGGAGTGAAATATACATCAGATCAATGATCAGTTGTTTGTAATATACATGATTGATCGCATGACTTCTATACAAAGCTTGGGTGGAGACAAAAAAAAGATAGATTACGGGTAAAGATTATATCTATGAATTAGGTCATAAATTGGATAATTACAGCGTTAATCAATTAGCTGTACGCTATACCACACAGAAAAGTAAATAACGGCGCTCGGCAGACACGCGCGAACGGAAAATCTCCGAGGTTCATGAAATCGATTAAAACATAAAACATCAACACCGTGAATATTTCCTGTTTGGTCATTAAACAGTCTTTTCAAATGAGCAGAGTAGTTTTCGCACAGTTCAAATCTACGCTACTAAACTGCCTCGGGTAAATGCTATTTTTTGTATTCATGTTTAACTGTGATCGTCGTCAAATATTACTACTATAGTTTGTGTGTATTTGAGTTGAATCTGGATTATCTTTTTGCGACTTATTTTCGCCTTTTTCTGGTAGTTTTTCTTCTTGCATGTGTGGAAACTATTATCGATGAAATGTCCGAAATTAAAGGATTCTGATTATTCATAAAATATTACTTCTAATTTAAAGATATGATGAATAATCAATCAACATTTGATATCGATGATTAACCCTTGACCAATGAGAAGAGTCTCTTGGGTATGATACCTTGCCATTGGTCTAGACCCATTAATTATTCTCGTATCTGATTGGATACGGATACCGTCACGGTGTATCACTGCGCGAAATATGTGAAATGTCACTTTCTCGCGCTGACAGATCTAGTTCTGACATATCTTAACATTGACCCTCTGTGATTTAGTTTCCCCCAATTACAGAAACCATAAATAAGTTGAATGTATATTTCTTCATTAGCCAATCGGACGGAATGATTGAGAATCGCCAAGGGAGGCCCTACTCGCGATTACAAGATAAGCATTTTAGCACTTTGACTGTATTTGTGAAGGAATCTGGGTTACAACTCTTTATGCCGAAATACATAGAATTAAAATTTGCTTCCAATTACATTAACACATAACCGATATTTCGATTTTAAATTGATATATATATCAAGTGCTACTTGTAGCACTACATAGACATGGCTTCGCTATTTAGTTTCAATACAATAATCCGGAATGGAGTCGTTCCCTCCGTCTCCGGTCCCGAGTCTAGACGCGTCCTTGGTTCTATTATCACTTATGCCCGGCTCCCTATAGCTCATCACAAGTGCTAGGAGCCTGCTACACAGGCAAACAGCATATCAATCACACAGAACATGTTTATAGTCCAAGTGATGTAAATAGTATCGATAGGGGGCTGGTCATTTCGCGAGAATTTTATACACTGAATTTGGAGCTTAATGAGATTCGGTTCTTAGTTAAAACTCGACACATACCGAGCGCTCAGTGCTGATGTGGTTACGACTAACGCCGGCGTTATTGCCTATGTCACAGTTCCTAGGCAAGTTTACCACGTAGATTGATAGGATTTTCCCTTTGTAACAACAGACGGAAGTAGCCGCGGGAAATTATTGCCTGGCATTCCGACGCTAATTTCCAGAAATACATCAACAAGATTCTCAGCTAGTTCCTTCAAGTGTCCAAACGCGTCATCAGAAAAACGTGTTACCAATTACAAAATATACTTTTCATTGAGATTTATGATATCTAGACTATTCTAGCAACTATATGTATCCTTCAAGCGATACATGTCCATGTATCAAATTTTAATCTCTGAATGTTATTATTATTTCTTCCATCAATAACGGAGTTGTTGTGCCTTTTTGTTGCCTACATTTCAGCAATTGGACACAGGTCCATTTATACAACTAAGTGCAGAAGTACACACCCAGGTATGCCTTTTTAAAGATTTTATCATTTCGGCACTTTTTCAAGTAATGATAAAAGACTTTCACAAGGAAGTCCAATACCATTTTGTTGTTTCTTAATGGTTTTTAACGTTTCAGCGCAATTGCAGTAACAGTCGAGTTTTTACACCGGTGTTAAAATTTAAATGTAAAGTATCTTGTCTGTGTGATCTCGGACACAACGGTTAAACGACATGATCCTCATAGCAAAAAAATATAATATTTGTGAGTATATATGTACAGGTTAAACCTCTGTGCTTTAAATAGATCCGATATATATATTGCATATGTCAACCTAATGTGTACATTTTTAACAAACTTCAAAACATATGTAATTATCTTGAAAACATGACAACGTTTTTCTGTGTAAACTCGCTATAAAACACACACTTTAATAATGGAAACCCGTATTATTAAGTATATTGTGCATGATATGCAAATGAGTAGATTAATAATAATGTATATATGTAAATGTGGAAGTAAGGATAGTGTGTCGTGTTCACTCGCACGCACCGACAATTTGACAATGCTTTTATCGTAGTGTCTCAAACTACATTTGCGATCTCGTAAATCAGTCGGCGTAAGATCGTTGTCTTTTCTCTCTAGTTGCCTATGATGTATCGATTCCATTTATTTTCATGTGTATATCCTCCGTGATCATTGGTACAAGATTTATATAGCTGTCGAAATCACTATAAACGCAAGGCCCCTTGTTATACAGACGATATAGCCGTATGCTCCGTAATATACACAGTTAAGGATTGAAGTATAGATTTATGATCTATGATATATTATATTTTAACTTCAAATACCTCGACGCAAGAAACACTTATTACATATATCACAGATCGCTTGCTTTATGTTATAATTATATATATTACATCCGGATCGTTTCAGCAGCCGGGAACATGACGGGAAAAGCTCGACTCTTCCATGGTTGAACGTAATTCGACTGAATCGTTATTTTGATCTACAGACAAACTATTTCCCAATGATAATTGCCTTTTATGCTGCATGTAGACTGATACAAACTGAAAATGTTCCTTTCTGTACCGGATTCTGAAGAGCGTGAGGGGCTGTGTAAAATATCACTAAATCGCATTTGGAGAGATTCCAAAATAACGATAGTCTTAATCAGAATTTGAAATTCCAAACCCAATGTATATATGAAACCCAGGCAAAGTAGTTTTAGAATGTATTTAAATGTGATATCATCCCGGATACATAGCGAATGACCAAAGAAAGAAGAATATATTTCAATTAAATTTGTATTCGTTGTGAGATCTATAACCACGCACGTCATGCATTTTCCAAACAGGCATACCCGAGTTTTTACCCGCGGAGATTCTCATTTGTTCTGAAAGTTTACCACATTCTGTGCTCCTGTTGGTCCAATTTCAGAAATAACGTTCCTGTATGAAAAGTTTTAATTCAGGGTACAAATGTTTTACAGGTAGAAGTTAG